TTTTTTTTTTTCCCGGAATTTTCAGAAAAGTCCACTTTCATCTCTGGAGAAGGTAGAGGGTGTACATTTGGGTCAGTCTGTATGAGTTTGCGTCTGCTTGCGTGCATATCCTGAAGAAAGGCTTCAACAACCACAGGGACTTGGATATAAGTCTGTAAAATACCCGGAGAAGACCTCACATAGCAGTTTGAAAATGTACACACTAATTTACACTTCACGTTTGACTGCCAGCTTCTCTCTCACCTTACTGAATGAAAAAAAAAAAGGCACGCAGATTTTAACTATCAATGCAATAATCTGGAATAATGGATTGTCATTTCTTACTTTAGTTGCTGTCCGGTCACAATAGAACTTTGAAGACTGACGACTTGCATTAGTCATAAAACTTTTTTTAATTTTTTCAAATTTATGGGCAGATAGTGAGATGACTTGCGGTACAGATAAAACATGACCATTCCATAAATGACTCAACTCAACTCAACTCATGACGGTAATTAAGTCCTTAAAATGTAATTCCAAGTAAGATAAATGCCCGATGCTTAATTTGATAAAAAATTGGAAAATGGGTAGCTGTCTGCCTCACAGTTAAAAGTCATCGAATGAAAAATGTACTTTTTACTTTTTTTCAGTGGCACAGTGCTTGACACAGTTAAAAACAAAGGGTCTTTTGCGCCATTGTGGGTGTGAACACAGTTGGCTTCATTCAAGACCACTCGAAACAGCTCCTCTCATTCCCTTTAAAATCGGTGTGCGAGCGGTGCAGTCCTTGACGTGTGGAAAAAGAAACCGGTTTGCCCAATTTATTGTTGGTGTTCGAGGTCTGTGATTTACATTAGGGACATACAAGGGACGACAAGCAGCTCTCAACGGCCGGATGATATAGAGTGATCAGAGATCTGTGAAGTGTGCACTTGTAGACCACCTTCCACTCCAACCGCTTATTCATAGTTGTGCCGTGGCCGGTCAGATGATTTAAAATAAATAAATTAATAATAATGTGTTATATGAGTCAATTACTTGGACGGCCCGGTGATCCACTGGTTAGCGCCTCAGCCTCACAGTACAGAGGTGCAGGGTTCGATTGTGGCTCCGGCCTTCCTGTGTGGAGTTTGCATGTTCTCCCCATGCCTGTGTGGGTTTTCTCCGGGTACTCCGGTTTCCTTCCACATTCCAAAAACATGCGTGGCAGGTTAATGGAACACTCTAAATTGTCCCTAGGTGTGAGTATGAGTGTGTATGGTTGTTTGTCTGTGTGTGCCCTGCGATTGGCTGGCAACTAGTTCAGGATGTCCCCCGCATACTGCCCGGAGGCAGCTGGGATAGGCTCCAGCACACCCGCGACCCTTGTGAATGTCATAATTTTAAAATGTCTTCTCTCACTTGATTGGGGGCCAGTGTAAAACATTTAGGACTGGAGTTCTATCTATTTGGTCTGGTCAGTACCTAAGCTGCAGCAGTTTAATGTTCTTTTGAGGGAGTCCAGTCAGAAGACCGTTGAAATAATCAAGTGTAATGGAGAAAAAAGTAGGGATCAGTTTCTCCTGTTCAGTTTGGAACATGCACTCGTTCAGTCTGGCTATGTTTTTCAGCTGATAAAAGGCCGTTTTCGTGATTGACTTGATATGATTGTTGAAAGTCAGAGGGAAAACAGGGCTCTTTGGTAAAAATCAAATTCAGCCGCCACTTCCAAAGTCTCGGCTAACATGGCGGGAGGGCAAATTAGTAATTCAAACTTTCCAGTCTTTGAACAAAGAAATTTTAAGATTATAATTTGTGTATAATGAATCATTGAATTCAAACTTCAATCCAGCCAACCAAAACTGATTTTAAAGGAAAACAACACGTGAAAGTTTACAATAGTGACTCTTACTATATGTCAACTAACTAATATAAATGAAACATGAAACACATTGAAAATATTTTGTAGGGTTCTGCTTAAACTGCATACACATGAAGTTTCATATTTGATTTTCCTGTTTTATTAACACAAAAAGCCTGGTTGTCGAGTGGTTAGCACGTTGACTTCACAGTGCAGAGGTACCGGGTTCAATTCCATCTCCGGCCTTCCTGTGTGGAGTTTGCATGTTCTCCCCCGTGCTTGCGTGGGTTTTCTCCGGGTCCTCCGTTTTTTCCCACATTCCAAAAAACATGCATGGCAGGCTGATTGAACACTCGAAATTGTCCCTTGGTGTGAGTGTGAGTGTGAGTGCGGATGGTTGTTCGTCTGTGTGTGCCCTGCAATTGGTTGGCAACCGGTTCAGGGTGTCCCCCGCCTACTGCCCGAAGACTGCTGCGATAGGCTCCAGCACCCCCCGCGACCCTAGTGAGGATAAAGCGGTTCGGAAAATGAATGAATGAATGTCTGCAGTTCTTGTAGCTGCTTTTTTCGGGTCACATGTCCCTGGAATGTTTGCATTTCACAATGGGGTTCCCCCCACCTTGGAGATAAACCAGATTCCCTTGGAACTCTTGGAAGATGACCGAATATAGGTCCTCTTGTGTCTTGTGGAATGCCAAATCTGGAAAACTATAGAATTGCTGCATTGTGCAGCAATTAGTAATAAACTAATAAATAGTAATAGTGAATAGTAATAAAAAAAGTAATAAAAAAAATTCAACAATGAAGGATATGGTTGATAACTTCTATATTGATTTTGGACCCAATCTGGCGTAAATGGATCAAACCTTTGCTTCCTTTGGCCCCTTCTCGAACTTGCACTTTATCATCGTTTTTTTTTTTTCTCAACTTTTCTCTATTATGCTGTTTTCATTCTGACATGTTTGAGACAATTGTGTAAAACACTGAAAACAGTAAAAATGAAGGTTGTTGTGGACGGTCACAATTTTTGGGGGGAGCAAGCAGAGGCAAGAAAATAATGGAATCACTAAATTCTGAAGGAAGAACATATGAATGGAGTTTGTAATTTTTCAGTTCTAAAAGTTGAGCAGTTGAATAACAGGGGTCACACTTTGGAAAGCTGTTGCACCAAAGGATTGGCATGAATTATGGCTTCACCAAGAGAGATCAAGGAAAGAATGGGTGAAAATGGGAGTTAACATCTGTGACCCAACTGTAAGAAACCGCCGAAAGGAAATGTGATTTACATCCAGAAAACTCAAAACAAAAGCACAGAAACAAGGCTACAGTGGGCTCAAGCCAAGCAATCAAGGATCGTGAATCTCAAGTCTGCATTGGGCAAGGTGATGATGCTGGAACTTTTGTTTCGTCCAGTTCGAGTGAGATTGATCAAGACGACATTCACATTTCTACAGTCATTGATGATATGGGAGTCAGGTAAAGGCATTGGGGAGATGGCAGTCATAACATCTTTGATAAATGCATAAGTTTACGTTGACATTTGGGACACTTTTCTCATCCCATCAATTGAAAGGACATTTGGGGAAAACATAATTTTATATTATAATAATATGCATCTTACCAATAGAGCATCTACACTAAAGGTTTAAAAATGACCGTAAATCTGACCTAAAGAAGATTCTAGAAATACAAGATGATCAAATCAATTGAGGTTAAATATTCACAGAAAAACAGTTCTTGGCTTTCGGTCCGATAGATAACAACAATACTATATTCTGCCTTTTTTTTAGATCATTGATGAAGAGGACACACAGTTCATGACCAACTGTCCCCCGGCGGTGACGGAGAGCACGCCTCGCAGACGCACCAGGATACAGGTTTACTGGACAGCGCCACCTACTGGGAGTGGTTGTGTCATACTCAAGTAAGTTTTTTTTTTCCATTAGTTTTTCTTTCCCCCCCAAATGCTATCACAAACAACAGCATGAATATTATCACAGGGGGAGTTGACTCTGTTGTACCAGATTGATTTTGCCATCCATAATGCGTCAGAGTCTGGCATTTGCCCATTTATACGAAGGGGAATTTAATTTAACGATTGATACTTTCATTAGATACTCAAGCTGCCATCGCACTAATTCATTTTAATTTACAGAGGCATTAATTGAATGTGCAATAGGAATCATCTCACCTAACGATATGTCTCGTCATTGTACTTTCCCTTAATAACGGCATATTATTTTCTCTCAAAACTTGGAGTTTAACTAACATTACCACTGTTTGCAAGAACATTTAAAGTGTGGGTGACATGTATTGTATCTCTATGAAGGATATGTCTTCAATAATATGACTAGATGAGAAAACGGTCTTATCCCTGTTATTGCTTATTCCAAATAGTGGTATATTCAAAGCACAATCCAATATTTATTGTGAAGGGGTTGTCATCATAGAACCTCTATTAACATTACAGGCAATATTTGATCATTTCATACTCAGATAACAGTTAAGTACGACAAAAGACATGCCCACTGCCTACTGAAAATAAAACTTAAAAAAGTTAAATCAAGACTACACAGTGCCTCTGAAAAGTGTTTACAGCGCTCCACTTTTTCCACATTTTGTTGGGTTTCATCCTCAACCCAAAACGTAATAATTAAAGAAAAAATTTTCCTCAAAATCCCCATATTGACAAAGTGATTATTTTTATTTTTGCTAATTTATTAAAAATAAAAAAGTAAGAAATCGCATCTACATAAGTACTCACAACCTTTGCTCAACACTTTATTGATGCACCAAGGGCAGTAATTACAACCTCAAGTCTCTTTGAAAATGATGCCACATGCTTGGCACACCTATCTTTGGGTAGTTTTGTTGCCCATCCCACTTTGCAGCTCCTCTCAAGCTTCATCAGATTGCACGGGGCGTGTTGCTCCATGGCCATTTTCAGATCTCTCAATACAAGTCTGGATGCTGGCTGCCTCCCTCAAGCACAATCAGAGTTGTCTTGAAACCACTCCTTTTTGGTTTAGTCTGTGTGCTGAGGCTCGTTGTCCTGCACACAGAGTTAGACGTAGTTTTAGGTAGTCTAAAATCTAGTCCACTTTTTATAACCAAATTTGCAGATGCGCCGGAGGGCGTGGCAGGAACGACCCATGAGGTGTGGCGTGTCTACCAAATTCACAAACATGCTGAACAAGACTATGGCCCCAGCACGAATATGAAGATGCCCCTGTTTGTACGCCCAGCGCTGACTACTTACTGTTAGCAAATTGTCAGATGAGTTAGGGGGCGAGACAAGTCAGTGCACTGGACTGCCCAGAGAGGATGTAACACTGCCCCAAACGCCAAGCACATGGGCGCCACTTTGCCAAAAATATGTACTGAAGACTATTTGTGTTTTTTCTACTTAAAGAGTGTAATTTGCTAAGCCACAAAATGGGGAAAATAAATAAAACATTATTTCAATAATACATAAAACGGGAGCGGGAGATCTGTGAAAGCCCTTAACATTTGTGACTCAAATATGCTTCGGGTTAAATGTCCGTTTCTTCACTTTCATCTGTTAAACCGGCAGACAGAAACCTGTTGCAAGCTGCCTTTTCCATTGTCTGCCTTTCTCTGTCTTCATTGACAACTCTAGCTTTTCTCAATCTGTGTGGTTTTCATCTCCTCACGTAAATTCCAGAGAAATTCCATGACTCTCCCACAGCTGAGTGAGATGCACGAACATGCCTTTACCTCCTTGGTACGCTCCCAGTTGTTAGTTTTAATTTATCTGCTGCTTTATCTCTTGACAGATGGCATACATCGATCTCAGTGTTTGTTGGACAATAAATCCTCCTCTGCAAAAAGGCACATCTGCTATGCAAATTCACCTCCAATTACTGTCGCTGTCCCTCGTCAAGAGGAACACAAAGATTCAGCATAACACCATACAAATTCTGTTCCACTTCATCCAAACTTCCTCTAACTTGGCTGTCACTTTAACTTTTAAACTTGATGGATTTTTTTTCCCCAATGGCAAAGTCTTTTAAATCCCATTAATTATAAAAAGGAAGTATGTGCGTCCCCATTAAGTATAGGGAGCATTTGTTGAAGAAATGCCAGCAAGGCACATTTTCAGACAATTTTTTTGAACAAAAGACCTTGACTGCACCCAGAGAACACTCATTTTACATCAACATTTTACTGTAGTGTGTTTTTCTCTGGGCAGTCCAACAAATGTCTCAAATTATTCCTGGATGTTTTAAGAGCAACCTCCTTAATAATTTGCGGTGCTCCAGTAAACTTTTCTAACTGGCTTTGTCATTGAAACAGAGAGGTACGATTATATTTTTGAGGATCCTGCCAACTCAAACACCTACTGTTTCAAACTCGATGCAATTACACAATTAACATCACATTATCCATCCACCCATCCCTCAATTTTCTAATCTGCTTATCCTCACGAGGCTCCCAGGCGTGCTGGAGCCTACCCCAGCTGTCTTCAGGCAGTAGGCGAATCGCAGCCAATCGCAGGGCACACAGACGCGCTCACATTCACACCTAGGGATGATTTAGAGCAGGGGTCCCCAACCTTTTTTGCCCCACGGACCGGTTTAAGTCAGACAATATTTTCAGGGACCGGCATTTAAGGTGTGGCGGATTAATACAACAAAATAATATGGTATGAGCTGTATGAAAACTGTGGTGTTTTCGAAATATAATAATAAACACAAGGAGCGTCTAATCTGGTCGCAACACTCTTATCGCTCTGGTAATGTTTAATGCCTTCAAAATACGATACAACGCAAATTCAAAGTGCATGAAAATGACGACTCGCCACAGGCCCGAGCTTGATTTTCTGCTTTGCCAGCTCTTCGGTTTCATTTTAGCGGTAACCTATCACGTGACTGAGAAGCGCGTCAAGAGTGATGTACTGTAGACGGATATAACAGAGAATCCTGTGCGTTTTTCAAAATAAAACATCTTTCAGATTCCAAAATGAATAAAACGGAAGTAATCAAGTAATTTGTTCTTTCTGTGCGGCCCGGTACCAAATGCCCTGCGGACCGGTACCGGTCTGCGGACCGGCGGTTGGGGACCCCTGATTTAGAGTGTTCCATTAGTGGTTATGATTGCATGACTGTCCATGTTTTATGGTATGTATTGTGTTATATCTCTGTACAGTCAAACCTCGGTTTTCGAACGTCTCTGTTATCGACCAAATCGGATTTCGACCAGAGAATTAGAGTTTTTTACACCTCAGATTACGACCGAAAACCGGTTTTCGACCAAACTGAGCAAACTCGAATACGCCACTCGACTCCTCGCGGCTTCCTTACACGATGAAGTGACGCTTCCTCGTGTAACGTTCATTGTGAGCAGACGTGTTTGTTGTGATTTATGCATATCTGACTGTTTTTTATATTAATTCTGCAGTGTATTAGCCCCTAATAATGGGCTAATAAAATTGTTTCGAATTTCGAACAAATCGCTTTTCGAACAGTCTTCTGGAATGGATTATGGTTGAAAACCGAGGTATGACTGTATTTTGTTGTTTTATGTTAGCTGTTCTGTAAAGGCGGCGTGGTAATCGACTCGTTAGCATGTCGGCCTCACAGTGCAGAGGTGAAGGGTTTGATCTCAAGCTCTGACCTTCCTGCGTGGAGTTTGCATGTTCTCCGTGTGCTTGTGTGGATTTTCTCTGGGTACTCCGGTCTCCTCCCGCATTCCAAAATCATGCAAAGTATGTAAATTGAACACTAATTGTCGCTCAGTGTCACTGCGAGTGTGAATGATTATCTATCTGTGCGCTGTGATTGGCTGGCAACCAGTTCAGGGTGTACCCCGCCTGCTGCCCGAAGACAGGTGAGATAGGCTCCTGTCCACCCGTAACCCTCATGAGGATAAATGGATTAGAAAATGGCTGGATGGCTGGATGTTCTGTTTCCGTTGCAGCTGTTGTGAAAGCTTTTTGTTGCTTTCAAACTGAGCTTGTAGCAGACGTGTGCACGTTTTCAGATGACGTCTTTGATCCACTGGTGAAAAGGACACTTTGATTCACTCCTCTTTCATCTACAACTGCTTCAAACAACAAAGTGTATGTAGGAAAAGTGGTTCAGATTGCACGACTGTCTGTGTCTTATGCGTTGTGTTGTATTATTTTGTCATTTTATGCTAACTGTTCTTTTGATGGCGGCGCAGGCACCCGCAGCGGCTCCTCTAGTTGTCGTGTTGTCTGGTTGAGAGGGAGGAAATGTCATCTGTGCTGTATGTTGCACATATAGCGCATTTGACAATAAAGTTGTACTTGACTTGACTTGATATAAAATAAGATTTTTTTGTATTGCCACGTATGCTTTTGGAATGTAAGAGGAAACCGGAGTACCCGGAGAAAACCCACGCAGGCATGGGGAGAACATGCAAACTCCACACGGGAAGGCTGGAGCCAGAATTGAACCATGCATTTTTGCACTGAGGCGGACTTGCTAACCAGTCAACCATCCTGTCGCCACACATCCAAAATACTTGAATAAGTTTAATTATGGGACACAATCTACTCATCTGGTTCCAGAATCGAGCATTTTTACTAAATAAATGTAAATCTTCCTTTGACCAGTTACTTTTCAGCCTGTGGAAAGTTGCCAAGAACCTTCAGTAGAAGTGTATTTAATTTAGCAAAAACATTGTGTAAACATTTAAATTCTGCATTGATGTGCATGCATTCATCCCGTATGCTACTGCGCCTTACAACAAATAGCTTGTTCCTTTGTAAATACCGATTCCCATTCTTTAAACTCTTGTACTTGTTTAACTAGAATGACAATCACACTTTGAAAGTGCCAAACAGTTGGATTATTATATGAAAACAGATTTGTTATCATTCATATGAATCTGGTGTGACAGTGGCATTGCGGTGTTAACCTGACACGGCAGATTGAT